TTTGACATCTAAAATAGAGTTGATATTCACACAAGAACTGGGAGACGGGAACTAAAGGAAACATTATTGATCGGGTCAGAATATATGCAACCAATGTTTATAATACAGTGAGAACATATTGATCGGGTCAGAATATATGCATGTAACAAAATTATACAAGAAATGTATTGTCATAGGCAAAGCCAAAATGTTGCATTTTCCATTTTATGCCTACAAAATTGTTTATTCATTGTCCACTCGGTTTATAAAAAGGTTAGTCGAGGTGGAGTGCCGTGATCCTAATATACTTATATAGGATTCTACATTGAATGAAAACTCAATTACATACTAAATTGGTTACAAACCTATATATGATAATGTGGGACACAAACATAATTGTGGTATATCTTTGTGAGAAGGAGGGAGTACAACTGTTGTAAAGCTACCGACTCATGTCATAAAATGTGGCGAAGAAATTTATCAACTGTTTAATCTAGGTAACGAAGTAAGTATGTATGTTTCTAACCGACCAAAACCATCACAATTTTGCACATGTCACCAGCATGAGACTACAAATGACTGTATAAACCCCACAAAATATTGTACCTGAATAGACACTGAAGATAGATGCGATAGTCTGGATGGACACCTTCTTCATGAAATCGAAGAAGAGGATTGCGGAGCAGCGCAAATACTAAGCGGGGCAAAGATTGCAGCTGAGGGCACTGAGTGAAGGCAACATCAACCTGAGATGTGGTTAAGTTCCCTCTCGCATACTCAGCAATCTTGAAAGCATCATTATACTGAGCAGTTAGATTTACAAGCCACTCATGTAGCAGGATTCGGCCCTCTCGGACTCCGTTCTCCATAGAGGACAAGATCACCTGGAGAATTGCACATCAAAACACAAGTCAAGACAAGTGTGGGTCCTAGAAGTTAATTCTACGCTAGAATTGCAAATTGGTGACATGGTTACTCCTCAATTTGATTGAGATGTGTGAAGGGCCCACAGCATTTGAAAAGCAACAAAAAATTAATATCCAACGAGAACTCATCAATGCATTGGGTACTCTCAATCTGCTCAGCAATCTGCTCAGAATACTAATTGTGATGGCTCAAGCCTGAAGTGAATATGAGGCAACTTCTCCTCTTCAACTAACTACTCTCAGTCTTAAAAATGACTGCACAATTTAATCCAAAACTTCGGGTACTTAGAAATTACCTCATGAACAAGTATTGATAGAACAACTTCAGGATCAACACTATCATAAATTTCACTGATATGGTGAGCCGTATCGAGTTGTACAGTTCTGATCCTCAGTCTCCTTTTCAGGGAATATTTAGCTCTGTGTAAATGGAATGTATATAAGTAAAACACACACACCGGAGTAGTGTGTAAAGCCAGCAAAATTACCAATAATAAGATGGTCAGAATGACAAAAATAAATTTTCTAAGTTTCCTAATCGCCTCAAGGAATAGTGCATCACATCACCCCACCTAAGTTGCTTTGATATGCACACACACACACACACACATGGAAACACACATTATATGCACAGTCTAACCCAAATTAAGAACCGAAACAGAACCCGCACTAGAGAAAAGTCGATTTAAATAAATTTTCTTTCGCTATTAGGTGCAACTTTTAAAGTCATGCATTTGACTTTTTCCTGAGTGAAACTGAAGAGTCCCATTGCATGTGTTGTCAAAACAAGGTTATTTAAGGCACATGGAAACTGTTTGTTATAGATTGTCAGTATAAAGGCACATCAGTATTCATGCCACGAATGGTTTGTATTTCCAATGCAAAGATAAATTTAGCTCACAGAGAAGCTGTAAAGGAGGAACAAAATATGAATTCTGAACATTCAAAGCAACTAAAATGTTGATAAAATTAATTATAAAATGAACTATTATCATGGAAGCACTATCAAGTCGACCACCCCTTTCACTATTGGATTTAATGACCATAAGTGAAGTATATATAAATTAATGATAGGAACTCATAAGGACTAGTAGCTCAGGAAGAAGGCCCTAGTGTTGGCTTCTAAATCAGAAAAAGACTAGTGTAACCACTATTCCTCCATAACTATAGGAACATGCAGCGCTTTCCTCACAAATTCAGTTTTCCAGGTCAGCAATAAAACACATGCAGGCAGCTGAATATATTTACCAGCAATCCACAATGTGTGACAGCTGCACCAAAATAAGCATACCTCTTTGAAGAACCCGAACCCTGTAGGGAGGGTCCATCAGAAGGCACAACAACTGAGTACTGAAATGCAATTTGCAATGTTGGACGTTCTCGGCTGTGTCTGCAGAAAATTTTATCCGATTTTAGAAGAAACAGAAGGGGGAAAAAATGTTAAATGACATAGAGGATTGAGTTCAGAAACCACTATCAAGTGTTCTGCGAAGCTTCCGAAATATATTTCACCACGGTTATTTCCCTTAGCAAATGGCTCATCTACTTATTTGGTACCCAAAACATGCAAGAAGCAAATATTTCCAGCAAATTCAGAGGAGAAAAAATAGCAGAAGTAGCAGAACGTCTCTTTTGAGTGTCAAATACACCTATAACCTGTCCCCGCCCCTTTGGGAATAAACGAAGAAAATGTCTGAGGAACTCTCAAACTTGTACGCTATAATAGTACTCAGTAAGTTGACATTAATATAGTGGAGGAGGAATATTGAACATATTAAAGAACAGAACAACACCAAAATACATAATTCAATGGAAATCGTCCTGCCCTGTCAATTGATTCAAAAAAGTTCTGACTAAATGAAGGTTCTCATCACAAGATCCAGAAGCAAATAGGACTACAATGCTAAAGGAAAACTTAAAATGAAACAACATTAGAGAAGTATTTCTTACCTGGAAAATCCAGCATCATTCACAAAATCAAAGTCATAGGCATATGTAGCGAAAGAGTCGCAGCAAATAATGTGCTGAACATTTTCATATTCTGGGTCCGGGAAAAAATGCCCATACTGTAGCACCACAATCAGGTATCATTACACAGTGATGATAAGTGGCAAAAGGTCAAATAAATTAAGGACAGCGACGTACTGAATGGCCAAGCTTAAACTCAGATGATGTCCTTATGCGTAGGACACAATTGAAAGCATGTGACCGGCTTAACATACGGTACCTATCCATTATTTAGGTAATTTGGATTGACAAAAGCATTAAAAAAAATAAATCAAGTACACTTAACACGTGTTGAGCAACTAGATCACAGGTTTGTTCGATTTGTACCAGCAGAAACTTCACAGATACTCCAGGAAAATCTAAATATTATTTTAATCACAACTCAGGTGATCATTCTTAAATTAGAAACACTTCACTTACATGTCCTGAGGAAGGGTGGAATCATCAGTATTTGAATATAGAAACAATGAACCTCCACTCTCAATGCTAAGAAACTTTAAGGAAGCCAAATCTGTATACTCATTTGTAACAGCAAATATATCCACACATACACCAGATTGAACAGCACCTGCAGCCTGTGAAAAAAATATAAGTACCTGTTCCTTCAAAGAACTCTTTGACAAAGAATTTCCGATGCCTTAAACTACGCACCAGATCTCTATAAAATGGAGTCTGTTCTGGGAGCAAAGCACGATCTGCATCCTCTCCTTTACTAGCATATTGCTCGCCATACCGCCTGGTGTCCAGCTGACCAAGACCATAGTCTGGTGGACCAGATAAGAAGGCAAAAACTCTAGCTGTGCTTCAGTTCAAGGGGTGAGAGGAAATTAGAATTAGCAAACCAAGACTGGTACCATTCAGAAATTCTGATGAAAGAATCTCAATAAACAGACATTGTCATTAGAGCGGCCTCCACATGGGAAGCAAAATAAGGGACACATAAAAACAGAAGTCTATCAATAGCATTAATGTACCCAGCGCAAATGTATTTCCATATTCTGATCCTAAATATTTGAGTAGACCTTCCATCGCCACTCCAAACCCTCGGCCACCAAGTAAAACACCATCTACCGCTTGACCGGCAGCTGTTGTCCGCTCCCATGAAGTTGTTGGCTTCAGAGTTTCAAGTGCAGATGCAATACGGTCCTTACATGCATCAACCTACAATAGTAATAAACCAAAACTTAAGCTCTTGTGAGTCCATATTCATTGTTTCACTCTGTCACAAGTTTTCTTTCTAAATGATTTGAATTGCAAAAAATTACAAGGAATATGAGAAGAAAGCACCAGAACCCAAATCCCAAAAGATAATCAAATTAACATACTGGAGCCAAAAAAGAAAACAATGGCATGACATCTTCAAGATCCATTGCCAGGTTGTCATCAGGGGGAATGAACACATTCTTGACCACTGGAATGGGCCCCTGAACATCATACAAGCCTATTTTGTGGCTGAACGTAGCAAGACCAAAGAGGGACCCTGGCCCAAGAGCTGTAACACCACAAGATTAAATCCAAAATCAACTCAATTTGAAGCTAAGAAGCTAGGCATTCAAATGACAAGGTAACAAACCTTCCAAGGCAGCCAGCAGAGCACTTTTAGTAAGTTCCAGGAACTCTTCTGATGCTGCATTCCACAAATAGACAATTCACAGAAGTCAAAGGTCAGATACCCTTGGAATGCATCAAACTACATGTGTAACAAGTGATCTGCTAAGAACATGAAAGCAGTTTATGGAAAATGTTGTAACTTTTATTCAAGTAGCAACCGTGTTTTCGGTGAGAGCTCACATAACATCAACGACCAGCTACACCTTTATCAAGCAATACAAATAAATTAATTAGCAGTAAATCTGAACCAATGACACCTAATGTGTGATTTGATTGATTTCTTAAATTGTATTGGCATCAACATGCTTGCTACCGTCTAATATTCAGTACTTAACTCATTTTCATTACTTAATCGGCAAGCAAAGTTGAAGGTGAAAGAAGTGAAAAATATCTTATTGGCTAGAAAACCACCAATACAGGAACAATGAACACCTGCAATGATATACCAGAATTTGAAAATTCTTACAAGTGAGATCAACCGCAGCAACATACACTGGCCTTGCCTGCATTTCTTCAGATTCTTCCACTGCCACCACAAATTGAACCATATAAACTCAAAAACATCAAGAAAGCAGTGTTGATCTAACCATAGTTATGTACGACTATAACCTATAAACAGGGTATCAACGAGAGAGCAATATCATATATGTGTGTGCGACTCCACCCAAGATGCCACTCTACCGAATCCCATGGACCTAGCTATCACATGTAAATCTATGCATAAGGCACCCTCATATTGCCTGCTTGTAGACAAATGAATTAACATAGTCAATTAAGCACCCCCTGAGAGCAACGACGGCATGTAAAATCCTATATTCAATACCATACGAATCTTTTTCTCAACTTGGACTAAAACCGGTATATATTCATTACTAGGCAATATGGAGTCGCAGGAGATATTTGAGGATAATGATGAATTGGAATATAATATGATAATGACCAATCACCAATAAATTAACCTCCAAATCATATGTATACTACACTGTACTGTACCAAAAATTTCTAGTTAAAGAAAAAAGCTCCAGCATTGTGGAATTCGATCCTTAAACAAAACGTTCTGAAAGTGAAAAGGATTTATAAGAGTAACAGAGTAAAGTACGCGGCAGCTCCAGGTCAATGAATGAGGACTTGTTCTCCGGGCAAGATTCGGGAAGTGCGTATCGAGCGATGGACTCCGACGTGAGACCATTGGTGGTGCCGCAAAGGGCGCAGTCCCAGGACCACTGATCCTGCTCGCAGTAGGTGTTGTAGTAGGCCCAGCAATTCTCGCATCGCGGCAGCAACTCACCGCCGGATCCGTACACCGGCGGGATGCCGTTCTCATCTTTCGCTGCGAACGGCGTCAGGGTCACGCCCCACGGCACGCTGCAGGCCTCCTGCTCCCTCAGGTCGGCTGGGAACCGGGACATCGTCGGCCGGACCGCCATTTCTGGATCCGAACTGAGAGCTGCTTTGTAATAAACTGATGGATTCTTTTTTTTTTTTTTTTATATTATAAATTAAATCACACAAATGTGCAAACATACATTCTCTAGCTGAATAATACAATCAAAAACTAAATAAATAGAAAAGACGGATCTGAAGATCACCTAGAATCGGTATTAGCAACGCTAGAAACCAAAATACGAACAAACACTACAGATACTACTTTTAAAGACTTTTTAAAGTGAAGGACTTTTGTGAACTTTGTGCAACTTTTAATGACTTTTGTGGATTTTGTGAGATTGTTACGAAGACTTTTTAAGACTTTCTGTGAATTTTTTGGAACTTTTTAAGACTTTTATATAATAATTAAAATAATAATTATATTTATATAAAATGCTCATAAAAGATTATATTCATAATAACTAGTATCAATAAAGTCAAATTAGTAATTAAAAAAATTATACTATTAATTTGAAACATGTTATGATATTAAGTACTATCCACTAAGCAAGAATGAAGACATGAGAAAAAAAAATATTAAAACATACGAACTCGATACGAAAAAAAAGCATGAAAAATATTCATCAATCCAACAAAAGAGTACCATTGTTATCTTATTGATTAAGTAGAAAAATAAAAAAGAACAAAAATAAAACGAACAACACATCAAATATTTCCACATCATTCCACATGTCCGTTGCCAAACTCAATCTCCACGCATTTGCAGCTTCTCTTTCCTGTTCTTGACTCTCAAAATATGGTCTGAAATCTTGTGCTTCATCTGCTATTGAAACACCATCTTCAGTGTCAACCGGACATTCATCAGATCGACAGTCTTTGCGCAAAAAATTATGTAATCCTGCACAAGCTAAGACTAACTCTGCTTGTGTACGATATGGGAAAGGAGGGGCTGCTTTGAAAATTGTGAAACGAGATTTGAATACGCCAAATATTCGCTCTACCACATTCCTTAGAGAAGCGTGACGAAGATTAAACAGTTCCTTTGGATTTTCAGGGTGACGCCCTTGACCAGAAAAATCTTGAAGGTGATATCTAGTACCGCGAAAAGGAGCCAAATATTGGCGTCGATTTGAAAATTCACAATCCACGAGAAACCATTTACCTGGATATAAAATAATCAATTAGTAACTCATAAATCATAACATGTCATATGAGAAAAAAAGGTATATACATTTGAAAGAAAAATAATTAGTTCGTTATTTGTAACATATTTTGTCATTAAAATTTTGTGCATGTGTTAATTGAGTTTTTTTTTTTTGTTCCCTTTTCATACCTTGAGGTACTTTGAGTCCATTTTTCTTAGTTAAAGCATCACTGAGTATTTTGGAGTCGTGTGTTGAACCTTACCAACCGCTAAGCACATATATGAATTCAAGATCAAAGTTGCAAGCAGCCAGAACGTTCTGTGAAATAATCCCGTGACGATTTCTATGACTTGGGGCATTTTTTTAAGTCACCATTGCTGGAATATGAGTTCCATCGATAGCTCCAATACCATCCTGAACAACCAAAAAGTTTAGTAAATACTAATAAAAAACAACTATGAAAAAATACTACCTAACAATAATAATAATAAAAAAATAATCTAAAAAATAATATCACTTACCTTAAAATAAGGATAAAACCTTGTACTCTTTCTTATTTTTTCTGAGACTGTAGATCCTGGTTTCACCATCATATCAACTGCAAGCCTTTTTAATGTTTTTAGGATCTTGTTGAAATTTTGACTTGCTGTGAAATTGGATCGACCGTATATTTTACGAATTACACAATAACGATTATTTTGACCAACGATGAGCAAAAACATTGAAAGCATTTCCTCAATACAGATGTACCTTGTATCTTGTAGTTAATTTTTTTCTCTTATAATGTGAGATAGTTTTAGAAACACTTGAGGATACATCCTATAAATTTCTCGAAAGCTATCTGGATCTTCTCTTAAAACATTATTTATATAATCATGCCCATGACTTGTTACCGGTCGCCTTGACAATGAGCGGTTTGCCCCTTGAAGAGAGGAATTGGTTTACTCGTTCAACAAGCAGAGAATTGCTTGGATTGTCAAGCAAAACAACCTATTAGCTTCATGTGAAGTCTCTTCATAGTCATTTTCCTCATTCTCTTCCATGATGGTGTCATGGTCTCCATGCATCGTGTTATCAGCCATTGTGTGAATACAAGTACCTAAAATAAAAAG